ATTACTATATACACAGAAATTGGTTAACTTTCCAGCTATGCTGACACCCCTGGGCTCCCGGTCTAGTTTGTAAGAAATGTACCAACCGTTAACGAAACCGGTCGCCGTCTACCTAGAGTAAATGGTGTTCGACGATGACGTCAGTGCACTTTTACAAACGCCATTGATTAGAATGAAAATATACGCGCTGAATTTCGTTGTTTTTTTTTTAATGAAAGATAGAATTTATCGAACATTTATCTATATAAAAACAAGATTAATATTGTAGAAATTGTAATTTCTAAAGATGCATATAATTCATATTTCATTTGGTAGACAATAAATATTCAGTAAGATATACTAAAAACGATTATTAATTCTGAAATGTACACCAAATCTCAGCTATTATTAATCAGTATGTATTATGTTAAAGTCTTAAAATAATAATTTCGAATTAGGCCTAGTATATAACAAATAATTGTATTAAAGTTTAGGTTCTCATGATGTCAGATAACGTATTAAATATGATGCTATTTTGGGCTCTGACTTAATTAAAACGATGGCTCTGTCAGTAGTAATGACTATATTTGTGCTTTTTTTAGCCATGTAGTAAAATAGTACTATTATTTTCAGTGTACAAAATGAGAGTCAAGAAGAAGTAGTAGAAGAAGAAGAAGAAGAAGAAGAAGAAGAAGAAGAAGAAGAGGAAGAGGAGGAAGAAGAGGAATAGCTTTTTTTTTATAATAATAAATGTGTTGAGTATTATTGATATTGATTATGCGATGAGGGTTTATTTATATATCATTTTTTAACATGCCATTTCTCAGGAATATTTTCTAATTTTATTATGTTACCACCTTTTTATTACATAGATCTTTTTCAAAACGTAACTGCTTTTAAAACATTATATAGACCAATTAAACACAAAAAGTGCTCTGGCTTCGGGGGCTTCGCCCCCGACCTCACCGTGGCCCTTAGGCAGGCCCCTGGACCCCACGCCCAGAGAACCTCCTCCCCCACCTTGAAATGACCTTGCTAAGGGTCTGCCCTGGTAGGAGTTTTTATAACGCTTTTGCAAATTCGTAAAACTTGGAATAACTGTTGGAGAGCTTTTATTGGTTGAGACAATAAAAGTCTTGATACTAATCCGAGTAGCTCGGGATTAGAAAGGTATAATCTATCCACCACACGATATCTACTCAGTCAGTCACCTCATCATCCATGTTGGTCTGTCTATTGTAATTATGCAACAAGATTCTTACCTTGCAACATTGTAGTTAATGTAAATACTACGGCAGCAGTAAATAAAATGATGTGTTTAACGACTGAATGCATATCGTATATTTTTGTTCCATACATTACTTATGGAGCGCTATCAAAACCATTTACGAACCTTAAAAAGATAAATAACCGATATGATGATCAAACGAATAGTCAGACACAGTTGAGAAATGTAATCGAGTCGTTATCAATATTAAACACAAATGAGTACTACCCCATACCGTCTCTACATTTAGTAACAAAAAATAATACACAGAAAAATAAAAATGACAAATAATCAACATTTAAGCAAAACAATAAGAACAAATTAATATACTATTGATTCTATTTCATAATAGACCGAATGGCACCGTTGCGGTGTCACCTATATGATTGAAAAAATATGCCAACGATATTAGAAAAATATAGAAACGGTTTTGGATATGGTTTTGGTAGGTAAAGCACCACCTAAGAACTCCAAAAGGCGGAGCACAGGCCTATATAACGTGGCAGTGGTAGTAGTAGTCCCAAATCTAAACCATAAAATCTCTCCCAATTTCTCATCAGTATCATTGAGCAATAATAACTGCTTGCCTAGTTTAATTATTTTGATATTGTCAGTTTAGATGCCATCGATCTTGAGGTGTTATTTTGGTAATCAATATGTTGATTGATTAATTGATTAATTGGTTGATTGATTGACTGATTGATTGATTGATTGATTGATTGATTGATTGATTGATTGATTGATTGATTGATTGATTGATTGATTGATTGATTCCCACTACTGATTGTATTTCGATGGTTCTACTATAGGCCATTCGGACTACCTGTAGGACTTGTTCGACCCTTGTCGACAAATTGTGGGGTAGTGGTGTTGGTGATAATATGAACCATAACAATACTTCATAACAATTACTCCATGGCTGGTATCGATAACACTTACTGGTGTTTATTTCACGATTAGTCAGTTCTATATATTGATGTTAGCATTCGAATAAAGGTATTATTGTCTGGAAATCCTGGCATACTTACAGTAGTAAGGGTCCTAATTTGCGGGGTCTGATATTTTGAGTGGGTCTGATTCGTGGTCATAGGTCTTAGCTTTTGCCTGGTCTGAGCTTTCGGAGCACCCCGGAAGCACCTGGAAGGACGGGGGAGGGGGAGGCTTAAGCCCAATTGTCCCACCCCCGCCCCGCTGGCACCGCCACTGCTAGACAGACTGCTGCGGGTTGCTAAAAGCATGCACTAGTCTAGGACTATGCCTTGCCTTGCTTAGGCCTCTGACTACTGAAAAGGCCTCCTGGTCCGACCTAGCGCAGGCTTAGAAGTGCCTAGACCGACATACTTTGGGCCCACTCGTCCGGAAATGGCCACTCGATGTCTCTTGGGCCCCGATCGTCCGTCACCCGGCCGTAGCAGCAGCACAAACCTATGCACAAACTTTTATACCCCATTCAGACTAGCTAGCATCGCATTGCGATCGGTTGTAGCAATTGCGACACCCAATCGCAAAGTAAAATCGTGTGTGAAAGCTCACCAATAGCAGTCGATATGTAATCGATATCGCAACTGTTACCCGTTGCGATTGGGTGCTACAATCTTTATTACTCCCGATTACCACGGAATCTGATCGCAACGAATCACAACGAATTCCACAGGCACTGCTTGTGTGCCCTAGTGGCTAGGCAAGGATTTACCTTCTGACTGTGATGAATACGCTGCAAGTAAAATCTTTGAACGTTGGACTGAAGAAAAAACGACGAAAGTAAAACAGCATAGTGTGACATTCTAATAGTCCTATATGATATCCTATATGAGTTTGCCTACGGCGTGGTAGCATTTATTCATGGATGAAGATAGACAACAAAACAAGTCATGCAAAGACGTATTTCTTTCATTAGGCAAATCTACTGCACTGTGTATGGTCTCCGAGCACAATGCACTAAAATGACTATGAAAATAATACACAATATGTTGTTATTGTTTATGTAGGCCTATTTCTGTATCGTTTCTTTTTAAACTAGGCCAACACCATTAAAAAAGCCATACTGTATCTTCGTATCTATTTCTAAAGCAATTGAAATATCGGCACGCACTTTTTTTAATTATTAGTTTGTTGGATTATTGTATATTTATTGCAAAAAGCTAGCTCGCATTGGATGAAAACAGTCTATTGAAGCATGTGCTGAATTGAGAGACTGAATATAAAATTACAAAAATATAAATTTGACAGTTAAAAATTCACAAATCATTATTTTTTTTTAAATGCAATATTAAATATTAAAATTTACATTGGAAACATAAAAAAGACAGACGACGTCAAAAAGACAAGAGCCTACATTTACTGTTCGAACCCCAAATTACGTGATAATAAACAGACGGAAAGAAGTGCGACAGTTTATAGGAAAGGTATTTTATGGATGGAGCTAATTTATGGATTGATATCGACAATAAACTTAAAACATTAAATAGTGCCAATTTATTTAGAAAGAAGATTGAAATATTTATTATAATTTCATTAAGTTAAGTATGAAAGTCCCTATGTTGTTGTCTCGTCGGTGTCAAACTAAAGCAATAACAAAAACAAAGCAGAAACAAGCTTTGTTTCTAAGTTTGATCCCAGTTAATGAATTATTAGATTGTTTGTATTTTGTTCTTTATTAAGATATTTGATTGATTAATTAATTAATCAATTGAATAAATGTTATTTCAATTTAATTGAATTGAATTGAAAAAAAACCTAGTACAAGTTATTATAAGTTGTGCTTCTTAAACACAGAGCTCTATCGCTACAGCTTCAAGTTGCACCACCACTTTCACCTACTATTACTATGACCCAAAATGTCTTCCGATTTCTTAATAAAGTAGATAGTAAAACAAAAAGGAATTTCATTTTTGTGCTGACGCTCAAAAACTTGTTTATTCCTCCTTTTTTTTTTAGGCCTTTCATTTGTTATAATGTATAAATGTTATACATGAAGTCATATTTATGCCTATTAAAAAAAACTACCTTCCGACAAAATGCCCGTTTCGCTAGTTTTGTCGGGCCTTAAGCCTCCGTCAGGCAGATCCTGGTGCCATCACTATCATCATCATCAATATCATCATCATCATCGTCAAATAGGCCTATTTGTTTGTCAGAGTAAAACTGAGATCGCCTGATCGTTAAGGCGATTTGTCCCATAGACACCATCTGTGCGAAAATTGTAAATGCGGAACTACAAAGTATCAGTGGCAAAACGAAGAGGCCAAAGGCCCCGAGACGGTGGAGGCCGCGAAGGTGTTTAGTTTCGTGATGTATTTTGAAGTCCTATTTGGCACCGTTTTTGGCCCATTTTTCTTTCTTTTTTTTTTTTTTTTTCTTAAAATCACAATATACTATCGCTATAATGTTTTTAGTGCAGAGACACTGCATATTTGTTACCGGGTCTTCCCCGATTCGCGTACCAATCAGAATGGACAAAAGTTGTCGGTGGTAGCGTGAAGCGCTTTTATAGAAACGGCTTACCAAAAGTATAAACAGCAAACTTTTTTTTAAAGGAAACTCGACGCTCAACAACTTTGAGGTTTGGAGTGAGAATAAATTGTTTTTGGTTAGTGACAAAATCTTGACTTGTTTTGATTGGAGAATGGTGGATATTTTTAAATGTCCACATGTCTCTCTATTCACATCACCTCGTCCGTCCCCACGAAATATAAAGGGAGAAAAAAGATGAAAAGAGAGGAAAGAGAGAGAAAAAAGGGAAGTGCGTTCTTACCTCTCAATACTATCGATGATGCAAAAACTGTAGCAGCAGTAAATAAACATATGTATTTAACTGCCGTATGCATTGCGTAAATCGTGGTTCTCCTATTGAAAACCTACGATAATGATAACACCAAACAATTAAAAAAAAAAACCTGCAGTAAAACAAGACTATTAAATGACTAATCAGTCTGGTACATTTTTAGAAACTTAGTCGAAAATATCAAATTAAACAGCAGTAACGACTACACTCTAGCCTCCATATTTTCTATATGTTAAATAGAAAAACGGCCCATTTGCAAAATCAAACATCATCATTAATCAATAAAAAGAGAAAGCAACATAACTGTGAGCGTTTCAAAACGTAACAATGGGAACCATCCTGTGATATTGATTATTGACGATACCCAGAGGTGACGGAACTAGGGAGTTCTGCGTTATGGAGAGTAATGTGTGATCGGAAATGGTCTGCAGTCAGTTGGTTGTTACCATGCGCCAGTGATGTTGGAGTACAGCAAGATGAAACTA